CAAACTTACATTTTTCCTTTCTTTCTTTCATTTTCTTTTTTCCTGAACAGAAGAAAAAGAAAGAAGAAGAAGAAGATAAAAAAAAAAACGATTTTAATTTTCTCGTCTCATCCTTTTCTCCCTTCCCTCCGCCACAGCATTTATGAAGTGGACGCGTTCTCCCATTCCCCTTCCAAGCCACATTGTCTCCAATAGATGAAGTCACCCAAGAGAAGCAAAGGAAAGCTCTCGCAAGGCAACGCCATTCTAAGACGCTCTTTCATTATGTAAGAGATGGTCCGAGATCCACCCGCTTCCTGTTTCATCCCCGGCGATACTTTGTGTGATTTTTCAGCGGAGCTCTTTTTTTTTTTTTTTTTTTTTTTTTTTTTTTTTTTTTTTTTTGCAATGCTTGCTTCGGGGAGGTAAGAGGAACCTGAGGACAGGCGGGAGTAGAGGGGGCTGAGGGACTACATGGTACACAAATATGTATATATATTGTCTATACATTCATACATACATACATATATATATATATATATATATATATATATATATATATATATATATATATATATATATATATATATGTCTGTGTGTGTGTGTGTGTGTGTGTGTGTACGTATACATATACACACATGTATGTATATGCACATATACGCATATATATATATATATATATATATATATATATATATATATATATATATATATATATATACATATATATATATATATGTATATATATGTATATGTACATATACATACATACATGTATATATACATATATATATATATATATATATATATATATACATATATATACACATGCAGACACACACACACACACACACACACACACACACACACACACACACACACACACACATACATACATATATGTATATATACATACATATATATATATATATATATATATATATATATATATATATATATGTATGTATATATACATATATGTATGTATGTGTGTGTGTGTGTGTGTGTGTGTGTGTGTCTATATCTATCTATCTATCTGTCTATATATGCATATAAATACACACACACACACACACACACACACACACACATACATACATATATGTATATATACATACATATATATATATATATATATATATATATATATATATATATATATATATATATATATATATATATATATGTATGTATATATATACATATATATATATATATATATATATATATATATATATATATATATATATATATATATATATATATGTATATATATGTGTGTGTGTGTGTGTGTGTGTGTGTGTGTGTGTGTGAGTGTATTTATATGCATATATAGACAGATAGATAGATAGATATAGACACACACACACACACACACACACACACACACACATACACACACACACACACACACACACACACACACACACACACACACACACACACACACACACACACACACACACACATATATATATATACATACACACAAACAGGTAGGTAGAAACGATGTTACACTGATGAGTTTCGCCCCGTAACTTTAGAGTTATAGAAGCCACAGTAAACCCAGAATAGACAGGAACTTTAATGCGAGTTCAAACCAAGTTCTCATTGTGAAGCTTATGACATAATACTATATGAAGATATATGCACGGAGAACGGACTTTGCTAAGTTGCTGTTATCCAACAATATCCTTTGGAATATGTTAAGCATTTAATAATTTGCAAAGGAAATAGAGCCAAGAATGCGTTAACTAAGTAATAACAGAGAGTATAATAATAAAATACAAATAGTGCTAACAAATTATTAATTTACAAATAGTATTAAAAAAAATATAATTCTGTTACCAATATAAACTGATAATAGAATTAAAGGTACAACGAGAATCGCAATATAATAACAATAAAAAAATACCGTTTCCTAAAGGCCATTATCATTCATCACGAAATGACAATGAAACGACATGACGCAAACAGACATGCTCAGATAACAAGAATTCAATTTCCTGCCTGCTAAGCCCTCAGACACCGGATAAAGTGTGTCAGAGGGGAAAAGTCAGAGGTCGTGAATGTTTGTCTCTGTTTTCCCCTTCCATATATGGTGTTTTTATCCCCTTCTTCCCATCGTTGTACCCTCTCGCTCATTATATTTTTTTCTATTTTTTTTGTTTTTGTTTTTATCTTATTTTTAATGAATTTTATACCGAGTTCAGAATCTTCTGTTTTTTTTTCTTGCGCCAGGTGAAAATGGTAGGGAGAGGGGGGGGTAGGGGTAGGAGGGAAGATAGAGAGAGCTAGTGGAGGAGAAGGATAGGGAGAAGGCAGGGGGATAGGAGGAGGATAGGGAGAGGTTGGGGAGGAGGGGGATAGGAAGAAGGTAGAGGGATAGGAGGAGGATAGGGAGAGGTAGGGGAGGAGGAGGATAGGGAGAGGGAGGGGAGGAGGAGGATAGGAAGAAGGTAGGGGGATAGGAGGGAAGATATGGAGAGGTAGGGGAGGAGAAGGATAGGGAGAAGGCAGG